CCTCAGCCTCCCGAGTGGCTGGGACTACAGGTGCCCGCCACAACGCCCGGCTATTTTTTTTCTTGCAGTTTGGCTGGGGCTAGGTTTGGACCCACCACCCTCGGTATATAGGGCCAGCGCCCTACTCACTGAGCCACAGGCACCACCCCAAAATAGTACAGATTCTTAAGACCTTCCTCTCTCCCCGAAATTGATTTATCAGGTCTGGGACAAAATGCAAGATTGCTCACTTTTAATAAGGTATTCCAGGAGATTCTGATGCATGTATCTGAAACCACAGTCCTTTTGATGGCATTCATGAATCTGAAACATGAAGCCATGTAGATAGTCAATGAGTATCTCTGACAGGGCTGTCACAAGTGATATGGCTACTATGTTTACCTTCAGCTCCTGTCTATTTCCTTTTTATGTGTAACTGAAGCAGGAGAGAAGACTCTCTTATGTAAGAGCAACTGTTAATCTTCTATGGTTCTGTTTTCTCACTGGAAAATGTGGTCATCACCAGTGAAGTAACGTCTGGGTGAAGGTCCACACAAAAGGACCTTGGCCAACTGATAAGCAGTTTTCTTTGTTCTTTTCTGCTCTCAGAATTCTTATTGCCTTTCCCTAGCAGGAATGGCTTATAGTTATCTTTGTTATTGTCATTATTATTCTTACCAAGGACTATGGCAACTCCTGGGGAAAGACATCTTTTCAAAGATGAGAATGGGACTCTGAGAACCTTGAACAAACCAGGCCACAGGGCCTGTAAATGTGCTAAGATAATAATATGGAAACCAGTTCAGAAGGTGGCTCAAAATAAGTTGAATAAAGACTGATGTCTGAGGGGGTTAGGATAGGTTGCTCTGCTACTACTTTAAAGGGCTTGAGCAGATGAGATCCCTCAGTAATTAGTCTTTCCTTGCTCTTAGGACACTGACTGGGTGGTGGTGAAGGAGCCTGTTATCAAGGTGGCTGCCATAGATAATGGGCTGGCTTTCCCGCTGAAGCATCCTGACTCCTGGAGGGCATGTAAGTCTCAAGACCATTGCGGTTTGGTACTTCCCTTGCTTGGTCTATTTTCTCCTTGTGCTTTGGAGATAATAATACCTCTATATAGGATTGTTCTAAGAATTAATGAGATAGTGCAGTTCAGGCATGTTAGCCCAGTGGTTGATACATGGCATCTATTCCATAATGTAAGCTATTTTTCTGATTTTTGCTATATACAATTCCCATTAGAAACATAAAAGTGATTGGAAATTAAAAATATAAAGATGAGTTTTCTCATCTCTACATTCTTCTCATTCTTTCTGAGGACTGCCATTTCATAATTTATTCTATTTGTGTGTCTGTCTTTGTATTGACGTCCCTTGCCCCATTATAACTGAGAAACTTTCTACTTTCTCTAATAGTGGCTTTCACTTTTTATACCTGAATCATCTGAAGAACTATTAAAAATTGTAAGATTCTTCAGGCCTTTCCCCCTGAAATGGATTTATCAGGTCTGGGGCAAAACTCAGGATTTCACACCTTTAATAAGGTATTCCAAGAGATTCTGAGGCAGGTATCCTGAACCACAGTCCTTATGATGGCACTTGTGAACCTGAAACATGGAGAAAGACAAGGAGCGAGTCACTAGCCCCTTCTGCAGCACTCATCTGCCTTTTTAGAAGGACCACCTCAGTGTCCTGGTGGCAAGTTGTTGCTTCTAGATAAGCCTTGCATCTTGAAAGGTTGCATTAAAAAAAAAAAAAAAAAAAAGAAAGGTCGCATAATATCTGGAAAACAGCTCTGGGACTAGGCAGATCTCAGTTTGAATGCTAGTTCCTCTGCTTACTAGCTGTGTAACCTTTATGGTTAAGAGCACTTGTAAGTTTTTGTTTTTCTTTGGTACATCAGGGAAGAGTGATTTTCCCTTTGAAAGTGTCTTAATGGGTAGAGGACTCAGATCGGCAGGGGATTTTCCAATACCAGCTTTGTTTTTGGATTTTCTTCTTTTCAGATCCTTTTTACTGGGCCTGGTTGCCCCAGGCAAAAGTACCATTCTCTCAGGAGATCAAAGATCTGATTCTTCCAAAGATATCAGACCCTAACTTCGTCAAGGACTTGGAGGAGGACCTATATGAACTCTTCAAGGTTAGCCCTGGGAACATCAGTCTTATTAACCATATAAAAGTAGGAATTCCTATTGGTTTTTCTAGTTGGTCCTGACATAAGCCAAGAGAAAATGGCTAATACCCTTTTAACTTGAGTTAGCCATTGAAAAGCAAGATTTCCACATGTAGGCAGCAAAACTTGATTTGGATGGGTTGGAGAGAAATGGGCAGCTGTAGTAACTGGGTATGGTGGCATGTACTTGTAATCTCAGTTACTCAGGGTGATCACTTGACCCTGGGAATTCAAGATTGGCCTGGGCAATATAGCAAGACTCCATCTTCATAGATAGATAGATAGCAAGCAAGAAACTGATGGATCACACTGCTATGTGTCTTATGCATCATGTGGCTGCAGTGTATCCACTTGTGCTCCAATGCTCATTTTCAAATGGAGCATTGGAGCCTAAAATTTGAGCCATAGAAGAAGATACTTGCTTTCTGTTTCCCTGAGTATAAAATAAGGATTCCTTGTGTATGTGTTGGGGGGAAGTAGGGTAGTTGATTTCACCAAGCTTCATAAGCAGGTGTCCTCAAACTACGGCCCGCAGGCCACATGCCAAGGACATTTATCTGGCCCGCCAGGCCGCTGTTGCCTGTCCTGCTTAGCAGCCTACACATCCCGGGGCCTGCAGTCCGGCCCTCCAACAGTCTGAGGGACAGTGAACTGGCCCCCTATTTAAAAAGTTTGAGGACCCCTGTTCATAAGCCTCATGTATGTTTTCTTTCTTTCTTTCCTTTTTTTTTTTTTTTTTTTTGGTTGCGGTTTGAACCCGCCGGGGCTGGGTTTGAACCCGCCACCTCTGGCTTATGGGGCTGGCGCCCTACTCCTTTGAGCCACAGGTGCTGCCCAATGTATGTTTTCTTTATTAGAAAGTTTCTAGGCCAGGCGCAGTAGCTCAGGCCTATAATCCGAGCACTCTGTGAGGCTGAGGCAGGTAGATTGCCTGAGCTCAGGAGTTCAAGACCAGCCTGAGCAAGAATGAGACCGCGTCTCTAAAAATAGCTGGGCGTTGTGGCAGGCACCTGTAGTCCTGGCTACTTGGGAGGCTGAGGCAAGAGAATCACTTGAGCCCAAGAGTTTGAGGTTGCTGTGAGCTCTGACACTACAGCACTCTACCAAGGGCAACATAGTGAGACTCTGTCTCAAAAAAAAAAGAAAAGAAAAGAAATTTTCTAATTGGGGGAGAAAATAGGTTACTGTTAGGCATTCACACAGGTCCCATCTCCTTCTGTCCCTCTTTTGCAGAAAGATCCTGGTTTTGACAGGGGCCAGTTCCATAAGCAGATTGCTGTTATGCGAGGACAGGTAAGCCTCTGACATCTTCCAAGTATCTTTTTGGCATCTTTCTGGAAGGATTACATGTTCATGTTAAGCAAATAATATATTTGATTGGTGAAGCACTTACTATATGCTTATCTCTGTGCATCTGCTGGATAATTAAGTCACTGGTAAATAAATCAGTCCTCCTTGTCAAGTTGCTCAAGCAGGCTGTATATTATGGTTGTTAAAATCTGGGCTCTACAGTAAGACTATACTACTTACAAACTGTGTGGCTTTGGACAAGAGCTTCTGTTTTCTTGTTTATAAAACAGGATAGTAGTAATACTTTGCTCACGTCAGAGGATTGCATGAAATAATGCATATTAAGTATTTAGTAAAACACAATGCCTGCACTTAGGTATTGACTATAATTTTAATTTTGTTGTTACAAGTACACGTTATACTATTCCTTCTCTTTCCCCTTTACCTTCAATAGGAACTAAAGAAACCCAGGGCAGTGTCAATCTTCCAAAGCATAGTAAAGAATGTGCTTGGAAAATGGATGTAAAACTCTGTAGGGCACTAGTATTGTGCTTATCACTTTGAAGTCTTAGAGCTGGGATAATGTAGGGGTTAAGGACACAAACTATAGTCAGAGTGCTTTACGTTTGAAACATGGCTTTGCCATTTACTACCTGTGAGGTCTTGGGCAAATTGCTTAACCTCCTCTTTTCTTTATTATCCCCATTTGTAATGTGGGATTGATAATAATACCTGCTATAGGGTTATTGTGAGAGAAATGATTTGAAATAGTTGGAACTGTACTTAGCATAACAAATACTTAGTTCACCCTGGCCTTTATGATTATGATTTCATATACAGAAATGTCCACTTCTTACATCTTTAAAGGACAAGAGGGTCTCCCAGCCACAGTTATACATTTACTTTTTCCTACCATATAGCTGAAGGCTTGTGGTGAGAGCACCTCTTAGGTTTGCTGAGCCCATTTTTCCTGGAAATGAGATGAACAGAGGTTATAAGAGCTATAGTTATTATAGCTGTCTGACTACCAGGAATGTTGTGTTCTTATGTTTCCCAAATGGGAATGTAGGGTGCAATTAAGCTGGTGGATATTTTGGAAACCTTAAAAGCCACATGATGTATTCTGCTATTATGGAATTCAGCATGAAGGAATATAAACTTGATTCTGTACTGTATGTAGGCTGTGGCTCTGTCCATATTGCACTATTTTCTCTAATTCCTTCCCAACTCAGTCTCTTGTCAACACCATGGCATCCTTCTCCCATTATACCTGGTTAGAGCCAATATCCAGGGTAGCAAAAGGTAAGGGAGATTGGGGGAGTGCAATTTCATCTTTCTTTCCATTTTGTACTCTTCATGTCTTCAGAGGGGCTTTTGGCATCTTATAACCTAGAGTACCTGCCTCCTAACGCCTAAAGTTTCCATGAGCATCGAGTTCCTCACAACTATCAGATAGCCAGTGTATCATTCACATTCTTAACTTGTCTACCATTAGTACACCAAAGTAAAATAAGCCTCTGCCCTACAGAAATCTGACATAGCACTGGGAAAAGAGATCATAAACCTATCCACCTAGTTGAGCCGTAATGACAGTGTCCTGAACTGAAAGGGGAAAGTGAAGAGGCCCCAGAGGAACAGAGTCAGGTGAGAGACCTTGTTACTCAACAGAAAGGCTTCTAACCAGGAGTTAGAGAAAGAATTTAGCATCTAAGAGAAAGCCTCTTTAAAATAATGTTTTCAAAGATGTTACTTATTCTGTGGCATTCATTATGTGCCTGCAACATTTTTGTCTTCAACTTTTTAATTTGAAAATTTTCAAACCTCAGTAAAGTTGAAAGAATGGCACCTTTTTCCTAGTTCCATGACCACATTGCTTTATCTCATGTCTCCATATTATCCATCCATCTGAATAATATCTATCTCCATATATCTATGTAGTTTCTCTTTCCTTAGATATATAGTTTTTTCCGCCAAAGCTTTTGGAAGTAATTTGTAAACAATTTGATATTTCATCCCACATAGTCCAGGATGCACAAGAGAAGACTTCCAACCCCCAAAACCAAAGGAAGACTAGCCAGAGCAGGTTTAGAATCCTCTGTTTCTGAAGTTGGGTGATAGTCTGGATCATCCAGTTCCAAATCCATGTGCATTTCCTTTCTGTTTTCCACCCTGATGTTGTGTTAAAGGTTAATTGAAGTAATATAGGATTCTGACAAGGACCAAAACAATTATGTAAAAAAGGAATTAATTACCAGTAGAAGACTGTACTTTCAGGGATCATTTCTATACTTCCTTAATTACTATTAGGATCCATTTCTGACTTTTGACCTCTGGTATAGGTGTATTGCTGCCTCTATAGGCAGCATTTGGGGGACCAGAGGATCTCTGTGGCTTGAGGGCTGTGTGCCTGTGTAATTCGAGGGTACAGTCTAGCTACCCTCCCATGTGTCTATGGTCTGGCCATGAAAGCGTCAACATCTAGTGGTTTAAAGAAAATAGGACAACTTCAGCTTTTGTACTGTCCTACCAGAGAAGATAAATGGTGGTGATTCTAATTTTGTCAAAGTAGAAAAAATATATCCCCATGGACACATATCTGAAATATCTATAAATTACTGACAAAGATGATGAAGAACTAAATGCACTGTGGTATTCTGGATGGATCCTAGAACAGATCCTTTTCCATTACTGGAAAAGCTAATGAAATCTTAATTATGGAGTTGAGTTAGTAATAATGTATCAATGATAATTTCTTAGTTTTGATAAATGGTTATGTAAGATGCTAAAAGTAGGACTTGGCACATTGTATACTAGAATTGTTTGTACTGGCTTTGCAGCTTTTCTATAAATCTAAAATTATTCCAAAGTAAACATTTTACTTATTTACCTATTTATTTTATAATAGAATACTTACTTTTTTTTTTAAATTGAGGATACAGATTGCATTTGTTAGGTAAAGTCCCTCTTCTAATTGTGTCCCCTCCACAACATTGTCTCCATTAAGTAGAAACACTCCCATTCCCCTCCCTCCTTCTATCTCCCCACTCCCTTGTTCCTCTGCCCCCCACTTTGAATTGAGTTTTTCTCTTATGTGGGTGTGTAATAGATTGTCTATTGGCTTCATATTAGAATTGAGTACATTGGATTCTTGCTTCTCCATTCTTTTTTTTTTTTTTTTGAGACAGAGCCTCAAGCTGTCCCCCTGGGTAGAGTGCCCTGGCATCACAGCTCACAGCAACCTCCAACTCCTGGGCTCAAGCGAGTCTCCTGCCTCCGCCTCCCAAGTAGCTGGGACCACAGGCGCCCGCCACAACGCCCGGCTATTTTTTGGTTGCAGCCGTCATTGTTGTTTGGCAGGTCCAGGCTGGGGATTCGAACCCGTCACCTTAGGTGCACGTGGCTGGCGCCTTAGCCAGTTGAGCTATAGGCGCCGAGCCTGCTTCTCCATTCTTATACTTTACTAAGAAGTAACACCACCCAGGTTAACACAAAAGATGTAAAGTCTCCAGCTTTTTTAATGATTGAATAGTGTTCTATGGTATACGTATACCATAGCTTGTTAATCCATTCCTGGGTTGGTGGGCATTTAGGTTGTTTCCACATTTTGGCGACTGTAAATTGAGCTGCGATAAACAGTCTAGTGCAGGTGTCCTCAAACTACATGCGGCCTGCTGAGGACATTTATCCAGCCTGCTGGGTGTTTTTGTAGCCGCTGCCTGTCCTGCTTAGCAGCCGACTTGGCCCGGGGCCCGCAGTCCAGCCCTCCAACGGTCTGAGGGACAGTGAACTGGCCCCTTGTTTAAAAAGTTTGAGGACCCCTAGTAGTGCACTGGTTCTCAACCTTCCTAATGCTGGGACCCTTTAATATAGTTTCTCATGTTGTGGTGACCCCCAACCATAAAATTATTTTCATTGCTACTTCTGTAAGTAATAACTGTAATTTTGCTACTGTTATGAATTGTAACTATCTGATATGCAGGATGTATTTTCATTGTTACAAAGGGGTCACCACCCACAGGTTGAGAACTGCTGGTCTAGTGCAAATGTCCTTATAATAAAATGATGTTTTTTTCTTCTGGATAGGTGCCTAGTAGTGGATTATAGTTTCAGGATTCTCCAGACTTCCTTCCAAAAAGGTTGAATTAGTTTGTAGTCCCAATTTTATTTTATTTTTCTGAGACAGAGTCTCACTCTGTTGCCCTCGGTAGAGTGTCATGGCATCATAGCTCACAGCAACCTCAAACTCTTGGGCTCAAAGGATCCTCTTGCCTCAGCCTCTCCTGAGCAGCTGGGATTACAGGCATCTGCCAAAAGGCCTACCTAGTTTTTTGTATTTTTAGTAGAGATAGAGGCTCACCCTTGCTTAGGCTGAGCTCAGGCGATCCTCCTGCCTCAGCCTTTCAGAGTGCTGGGATTACAGGTGTGAGCTACCATGCCTGGCCTCCCTTATATGATTAACTAATTTAATTTATATTATTTTCACCATTAGTAATAATACTGCATTATATTTTTTGAAACTAAAGGTTTAAAACATATACGTGATTGTTTCCTTAAAAATAAAATTCTGAGTCAGAAAGTCTGTTCTTTTTTATGCTTTGTCAACTTGCCAATCTAAAAGACTGTCCCACAGCTGGGCGCAGTGGCTCACAGCTGTAATTCTAGCATTCTGGGAGGCCAAGGTGGGTGGATTGAGCTCACAACCAGCCTGAGCAAAAGTGAGACCCCGTCTCTACTAAAAATAGAAAAACTGAGGCAAGAAGATTGCTTGAGCTCACAAGTTTGAGGTTGCTGTGAGCTATGACACCTCGGCATTCTACCCAGGGTGACAGCTTGAGACTCTGTCTCAAAAAAAAAAAAAAGGAGGGTGGCGCCTATGGCTCAGTGAGTAGGGCGCCGGCCCTATATACCAAGGGTGTTGGGTTCAAGCCCCGCTCCAGCCAAACTGCAACAAAAAAAAGAAAAAACGACTGTCCCACATCCCAGCCCCCCACACCATGGAGGAGAGTATCTGTTTCTTTGAACTCTCTGCCACTGTGAGTTGTCATCTTCTGTATCTTTACTAACTGGAAGGGCAAAGAATAGGAGGTATTTGTTTTCTTTTGTATCTTACAAATCACTGGAGAGGTTTTCATTTTCTGTTATTATCCATTTCTACTTTTGTAAATAGCCTATTTATATGATTTCACCATTGGCGTGGTTTCTTTTTTTAATTGACATCTAGGAGCATTCTATCTACTGGTCTCCCTTTAGAGGCAGACCTGAAATGCATAGGCCTCTCCTTCACCCATATCCTTTTTCCCACTGCAGATCCTAAATCTGACCCAGGCCCTGAAAGACAACAAGAGTCCCCTGCACCTCGTCCAGATGCCACCTGTGATTGTTGAGACGGCCCGTTCCCACCAGCGGTCTACTAGCGAGTCCTACACACAGAGCTTTCAAAGTCGGAAGCCCTTCTTTTCATGGTGGTAGCCTGAGAGGCAGGCAAAGAAAATATCGTCTGAGACTGGTGGGAAGAAGCCTGGAGAGTGGGGTGCAAGAAATGCCAGAGAGTAGGGCCATTAAGAGCTCTTTCTCTCTGCTCACCACCCCCTCAGGGCTTTCCCACCCACAGGGAGAAGCACAATCAGGGACATTGAGTGCTCCTGGGCCCTTCTCAGTGCAGGAGGGAGTGAGAGCATCTCCCTTCCAGCATCTCCTGGTGGCAGGCTGGGAAAGTCCCTTCCCTTCCTGACACCCTGCTCTGTTGCAATTCCCTATTATATTCTGCATCAGAAAACAAACAAACAAACAAATCTTAATGCTTGTAGCAGAACCCCAGGTCCTCTCATGTCAGAAACTTTTAATCCAGGCCTAAATTTGCATAGACCCAGATATTTGGGTGCCTTCCAGTTGCTCACTTCCATGAACCAAGGCTGTGATTTGCAGTGCTGGGACAGACAGAAGCCACACCTTTCCTTTGGGATTTTTGCCAAGCCTTCTTCCCCTTCTCCTCCCATCAGAGCTGTAGGCTGGCCACAAGCTTCCACACAGTTCTCATGGCAGGGAGGCTTTTGCTCTATACCTCTCAGCAGTTCTGTACATGATCATACAGAACCTCTGTGCTCTCTGCCCTGTTGCAGTTTGCCTGTCACTGAAGCAGAGAGAGGAGGAGCGAGTCTTAGCATTTATATTTCAATAGGAAATTGACTCCCAGCATGTAAAAGTGATCCACATGGCCTAAGTTTATGCCAGGAGCTATAACTTGCTTCCTGAGTTCTTGGTCCAGTCCTCTAATTTGTTCCTATTGTTTTAAATATTTTTTTTTTCCCAACTCTCTTAACTTAGGAGTTCAGTTCAGGTTCTAGAGTTGGTCTCTGTGAGGGATCTGGAGTAAGCTTGGCTCAGAAGAGGACAGGATAAGAAGTCTTTGGACTTCTTTATATGCTACCACTGCTGCTTGGTGGCAATAGGATGTGTATCCTGCCTCCTACTTGACGGCTTCCCTTTACTCCCCGACTTCTTGTTCTTAGCCGGTTTCTCCATGGCTTCTTGAGAAAGATAGGGCCCAAAGGAGACAGGCTGTCCCTCAGTGCCTGCCCAGTTCAGTGTGCATCGTCTCGCTTCCGTTTGTCTTTCCCCTCAGCTTTTCCCCTTGCTAGGTATTCAAGCCCTTTCTACACCAAAGCAAAGAATGGCCTCAGGAGGGAGTAAAAAGGGTGCCATATGTGGCTAAGGGACCGCTGTGTTCACGCCTTATGCTACTGGATACTTAAAGGTTCTGGCACCTTGCGATTGGTCAATCAGCCTTGGAAAGAAACTATCGTGAAGGTCTGACAAACAACCAAAGAAAGGGTGTGAGGACTGTGGCTGTGGGTCTTCTGCTTGCCTGGCTCCTGCTGTCCAAGAGGCAGAACAGAGATGTGCAGCCCTTTTGTCAACTGGCCAGGTTGGTCCCCTTCTGGTCCAGCTGTTTGGAGCCAGCTTGTTTTGGGCTTCCACCCACCTGACAGGAGGAATCTCTGAGAGCTGGATGTGTAAGTCCTGTGGGCAAAGGCACAGCTCTCCCACCTGCGCCAGCCCTGACAATCCCATCCAGCTGACTTGGACTCTGGCTTTGGGAACCATGTTTGAGAATACACGGCTCCTGACTGCAGGAGCCAGAAGGGGACGCACGTGTGTGTAGCTTCACACAGACTTGTTGGTAAAGCTCCCTGCCTGGTATTCAGGAGAGCCTGAGGAGTCTAAAGAGGAGCCTGGCTGCCTCACCCACTACGCCAAATCTGCACATTGTCCTGATCCAGACCAGCTCTGTAATCAGAAGGTAAATTGGGTCCAATGAAGAGGGAGCTGGTCCTGGGCCCTGGGGGCTAGAGTTCAGGGCATCCTTTCCTGGCCTGTCTCTACTGTCTCTCAAAACCTGCCTGTGCTCAGGTTGCCTTGAATGTAGACTTTGGGAGTGCCAGGAACTCATGGAACGGCTGTCCCTCTGCCAGCCACAGGCCCTGTCCCTGGCATCAGGGAATAGCGGCTGGGCTGTGAGCGTGCTGCTGCCCTCTGTGTTGTCCTAATGCACTGTAGAAATTGTACGTAATGTATTTAAATCAATGCAAATGTATGAATAACAAATCCAATTCTGACCCTTTTTTGGTCCAGTTTCTTTAGGGAAAGGAAGATAAAGGTAGAATATAGTTTTAAGGACGAGGAAGCCAGTGTTTCTGTGGAGTTGCTGAGACATGGTTCCTGGGGCCCATTCCTCTCTTGTAGAGGAAGCCACAAGTTCTCATTTCCAAAGTCCTATGCTCACAAAGCCAAAAGTACTTTCATAACTCATTTGCCATCAAAACTTGACTTGAACATACACTGATATGAAGGTATTAGTAATCATTATGTATCCCTCTTAGAATATTTGTTGCAGAAATATTAATCTGTTTTCTGAGATGGTCTTTACTAGGGATTATAAGTAATTTCCCTGCTTCCTAAAAGGCAAAAAAATTCTGATAGCGAAATTATCCAGCTCCAAGGGTTTGGGGATAAGAAATCCCCACTTAGTGAGTGGCTTCTCTCTTGGCCACTAGAGGGCAACCCTCCACTGTGTGTGCATCATTGCACGCTTGGATCCCACTCCTTTGAGCGATGGGTCATCAAGTGGGCAAGGTGGAAGAATGCTAATATGCAAGAGTTGGCTGCCTCTAAAGTACAACTAGACCAGTAGGAAAATCCCTTACCTCAAGTGATTTCCAGGCCACAGGAAACCTAGGATAGTGCAGGTGGCTTAAAATGATTGGTCCAGCTGTTCCCCAACACAGCATGGTTGGCCTGTAAGGGTGAAGAAGCCATCTGAGGAGCTGGCACCCCCTGGTGTGACTGCAGATTCAGCCAATAAAGGACCCAGTGCCCACCATGCAGGGCTTCCCATAACGGACTCCCACCTTTCTCTTCTCCTCTGGCTCAGGACTGCTGTAGAGACCCTCCCGTCTCTCCCTCAGTCCCGTAACCCCTGGAAAAGGAGCTGGAACCTGCAACACAGGGGCCGTAAGGTATGGGGGTGAAAAGCAAAGAGGCCAGCTCTGATTCTCCTTACTGGGAACACTCCTCCCTTTCCCCCCCCAGCTCCAGTCTGTTTCAGGATTCTCCCCTTCTGTGACAGACTCACACCGTTATTGATGCAATTGCTTTTATTTGCCACTTAAACACTACAGTTTCCCTGTGCTGGCTTGATGGTGTGGGGGCATGGGACCAGCTGTGGGACCATGGGTTACAGTAGTAGCAGCAGAGCAGTAGCAGCAGTGGTGAGGTGCTGTGTCCGAGCGCTCGGCACTTGACTCCTGGGGGAATTTCATGCAGCCCAGGTATAGTGTTGCATTGGGAAAGGCTGAGGCAGGAACAGACGCTGTTATTCATTCTGTTGATGAATGAGTCCCATATAACAGCCTGGTGGAAGCCTCCAGTGCTGTTCCAAACTGAGCAAGCCAGTGGCGGTGGTCTCTCCTTTTTATATACCCACGTGAGGATGCCTGCCTTAAGTCTCTTCCGCCTTCACTTCCCCAGGCCTTTTGGTGAAAGTGCCTTTGATTTCTGGCCTTCTCCCTGGATCAGTGTCTGATTTGGTGGAGGTAGTTTGTGGGGCCTGGCTTCCTCCAGTTCCGGCGGATCCTAGCACTTGTCCTCCGGGTATGCAGATACTGCTCACTGGAAGCTGTCTCCGTGGCACTACTCTGTGGGTCGCCCAATGCAGAGGGGGACTCCGGGATTCTGTAGGGAACAAGTGTGTGAGAAGCCAACACCGATGGGGAGGACAGAACGGGGACTTCAAGAGATTTTGGTCATAGTGGACTATAAATGCACTACTCAGGGCAAAGAGTAGACCAGGGTTCTGGTCTTGTCTCTTCCCCCTGAAGAGCTTTGTGACTAGGCAGAGTGCTCAGATTTCTCTGCTGTTAGGAGAGGTGGATTAGATCAGGGCGTGCAACACTCAACATTTCTCCTGTATTCATGGAAGATGTTGCTAATCAGTCATAACAGGAAACCAGTGTTTTTAGCAATGACTAATCAAGTGGAGTTAGCTATTGCCGGACCTGATGACTTCAGGCCATTTGAGTCTGTTGTTGTGGTTTTGGCCCCGAGAGGAGGCAGCAGAGGAATACAACTCAGATTGTAACCCACAGTAACTGCTGAGCCCACGTGGTTCAGCTCCTTATTCCTGTACAGACAGTGACCTGGGCAAAGAGTTAGCTGACTAGGGAGATCAGAGAGAGATGCTACCTCAGGATAAAGTCTCTCAACAATTTTTAACCCATGATGCCTCTATAGTACATTCTGATGCTATATTCTCTGTAATCTCATAGCCAAGATTTTAACCAGGCTTACTTTTGAATGTTACTACAACAGATAAACAGAATATTTTCCTCTTTCAAACAATACTCCCTCCTACCTGGCTGAGAATCACTGTAAAATGAGGTGATACTTCTAGGATCCAAGCACCCCTTCCCATGGGAGTTTACAGGGTCAGACATGACTCCAGCAACCTCAAGTGCCAACAAAGTGGTGGCACTGTGAAGATGTTATAACCCTAATGGCAGGCACTTTACAGTGAGGCCCAGTAGCTAGCTAGCTTCAGGTCACACACACAGCTAGGACATCGTAGAACAGGGATCCCAGGGCACTCCTTCCCTCTGTGCTCCCATCCCAGGAACCTACCTGAGCCGGCTGCAGTGGTGTAGTGAACGGCCCAGGGGTTTCTGCCGTGGGGGCCTCTTCCTGCGCAGCCTCTTCAGGGCCTCTGCCACACGGTGGTCTCCTGCACACTCCCAGATGATCTGTGCGCGTTCCTCAGCCAGCTGGTCCCCACTACGCTGAAACAAGCCTTGGATCTGCAGCAGCTCGGCGTCCTGGAAGATATTGGCTGAGGCCTGCTTGCGGCCCCGGGCCTCAGTCGGGGCCTGCCAGGGTGGCGGCTCGCTCACCACAGAGGCTGGGGTGCCCATCGTGGGTGTTCTGAGCACAGAAAGCATGGAGACATCAGCAGCATGACAGGCTCTTGCCAATCCTAGGAGTCCTGACTAATGCAAGGGCTTCTGGTGTTTATTCTCTAGGAGCCAGACTGCGGCAGGTCTCTCACCTTAAAATCTTTAAGTGCTTATGCGTAAGATTTACCTCACAACTTGTGATGTAAAAATTATTGTATGTCCTCATTTTACAGACGAAGTACAACTAAGAGAGGCTAAGTTTACTTGCTGGTGGTCACAAAGTCATATGTAAGTGCACAGGAGTGAAACCCAGGTTTATCTGGCTCTAAAGTCCACACAGACACTAGGTTGCCCAGCAGCAGCTCAAAGCTTTCAGCACTTAACATGTATCAGGCACCACTATAAGAGCTTTATTCACACATGAGCCCTAGCAGGTTGGTATGTCTGTCTTCCTGTCACAGATGAGGAGTCAGAAAGGTTAAGTCATCCACGGTTATGCTGGGACTAGAACCCAGATCTCTGATGCTAAGGGCCACACACTGTAGCACAGACATAGGACAGGAGATGGGACAGGAATGGGACAGGTTGGAGTCCCACTTCTCTCTGCCTACACCACTTACTGCCCAGGTGGCCCTCCATGCCTCAGCTGCTTCCTATGTAAAATCACACTGTATAGGATTTACATGAAGATGAGCATTTAGAACAGTGCTCAGAGTTCTACTCTACTTTTCATGTACCTTTGTATGTGGGGATTGCCAGGTGTGGTGGCTCACACCTGTAATCCCAGCACTTGGGAGGCCAAGGTGGGTGGATTGCCTGAGGTCACAGGTTTGAGACCAGCTTGAGCAGAGCAAGACCCCATCTCTAAAAATAGCCTGTGCCAGACACCTGTAGTCCCAGCTACTTGGGAGGCTGAGGCAAGAGAATCACTTGAGTACAAGAGTTTGGGGTTGCTGTGAGCTGTGATGCCACAGAACTCTACCAAGTATGACAAAGTGAGACTCTCTCCAAAAGAAAAAAAAAAGACCTTAGGGATGAACCAAACCAAATAATTTACCAAACACAATATGAGATAGACCATTCAGATCTAACCATAGTCCAAAGGCCCTACAGAGAGACATTGGTACAGAAGAGGCTACATGGGTGACAATATTAAGGGCAGAGGCTGTAATTTACAAGAAAGTTCAATAGCAGTTAGGCTCTGTGTCAATATCTCCCATCATATACAGGAAATGAACATTATCTCCCTTGACTGTAGATAGTACACTTTGAATAATACAAGTTTAACAAACTCACCCACCTTATCCTTGTTTCTGGTAGAGCCTGGAGACAAGGGCCGAGGACATTAGTGTTAACACAGAATTGGGTTTGAGTCCTAGTTCTGCCTCCTAGTTCTTCCTAGCTGTGTGTTCTTAGGCAAGTAATTCAACTTCTATAAGCCTATTTCCTTGACTGTAAAATGAGGGTAATAATTTGCACATGCCCACTTTTCAGGATTATAGAAAGTGTATCAGTAAGCCTTGTATATCAGTCACCCACTAAGAGTTTTAGTCAGCCATCAGTATCTGTGGAGTTTGTATCCAAGGATTCAACCAACTGTGCATTAATAATATTGGAGGGGTAAATAATAATGAAAGTAATACAATAATAAAAAAGCACACAATAAAATATCAATAATCTTCATTTACATAGGTATAAAGAAAAAAAAATTAAAGAATGAAAATTTAGTATAATAATTGTTTCCACAGCATTACATTGTATTAAGTATTAGAAGTAATCTCAGAGATCAAATATGTGGGAAGATGTACACAGGTTATATGCAAATATTAATGCCATTTTATATAAGGGACTTGAGCAACCCAGGAGGCTCCTGGAAGAAATCCTTTACAGATATTGAGACCTGCAAATGCTAATGCTTCTCTTCGTAGTACGCGGGTCTGGGGTATGATGTGAAACCTCCTTTCCTCCCATCTGGGTGGCCAGAGCCAGCTGAGGATGGGGCGTCTGCTTCCTAACCTCTCCCAGCCCCAGGCACAGTGAAGAGGTAGGGGAAGCAGGTCCTGTTTCTTCCCAGGACCTGCTGCCTGAGTCAGACCTCATTCCGCAACTAGCTACAGAGAGAGACAACTGTCAACCAGATCACAGCTTCAAAAGGGGGAAAGGATAGTTAAAATATATGTAATGCAAACAGTTCACATGCTCACTGTAAAAGAGGCAAACAGTACAGAACCTTATAAGTGAGAACATTTCCAATTTCTTATCCTTAATCCACTTGCAGAAGTAACCCTTACCCTAACCTGCCTTTTGTTCTCTAGGGAGTGAGTCATATCTCCACCCCATTCAGACTCCTGAGGTAGGTTCCCTCCCTTTACCTCAGTAGTCACCCTTATTATTTCAGTAATTTCCACACTCACCCTGGCCCAGTTTCTGGGCCTTCTATCATAAGTACCACATTTTCTTTTCTAAAGATTTAATAACCAAAATAAACCCATAGAAAACTTACAGATAAATGGACTTCATAAAAATTGGACTTTTAATCTGGAATTTTAAAATCTGCCTCTCCTTAGGCATTATTATGGGAACCCAATTAAAACCCAGTGTGTGTGGTAATTAAGCCCCCAGAGCTGGATGATATATATAAACATACCGTGACAGGAAGATAACAGTCACCAAGGAACACTTTGAGGTTGATGAAGAGAAATAAAAGCTAACTACAGGATGTTTATTCTGTACCAGGCAATATATATATATGACACCATTTAATCCTCAAAACAATCTAGGAATTAGATACTGTTATCCTCATCCCGTTTCTCAGAGGAGCAAAGGGAGGTAGGCACAGATGTGAGTTATCAGTGGCTCAGCTGAAGCTAGAGCCTGTTCTTTCAACAGCAGCCAGGTTTTTAAGCTCTTCAGCTGGCTTCACCACCAAGCACTTCACAGCACACTTCATTACTCCCACCTCATTCCCAAAGCCCACTGATAGAAAGGGAAAGACAATGAATTATCCCACCTGGTAGAGGCAGGCATGGAGCTATGGAATTTATTTCAGTCTATTCGCTGGCATCAGGGCTGTTTCCTGGGTGATAGCCACCCCAACCATGAAGCCTCGGCAGTCTAAAGAAGATCCCTGACTTCCACAAAAGAAATCTAGAATCACAACCCAGCCCAACACAGCACACAGAACCCTGGCTTATGAGTCAGAGGACTGGGATCAAACCTTAGTTCTGCCACTTACTGGCCCGAGGGTGGGGGTGGGGCTCAGGCAATTCACATCACCCGGGTGAGCTAGTTCTCCTCTTATTGCTGTAAGAACAGGCTGATGCTGGTGGTCTCTGAGAGCCTGTAGCAGTGCCGGGAGTCCGATTCCATGCTGAGCTAAGTCTGTAGGGAAGGAGGAATGGGGCTGCTTGTCTGCCAGCGCCTAGGGGTCCTCAAACTTTTTAAATAGGGGGCCAGTTCACTGTCAGACCGTTAGAGGGCCGGACTACGGGCCCTGGGACAAGTTGGCTGCTAAGCAGGATAGGCAGCGGCGGCAAAAACACCCACTGGGCCGAATAAATGTCCTAGGCGGGCTGCATGTGGCCCACAGGCCATAGTTTGAGGACCCCTGGGCCTAGGGGCTGCACGTATGGACAGGTTTAACTGGGTTCTAGGAAACTCCCCAACTAGTAGCACCTTTTCTCTTTACTCCTCAATCTCCTCTGGAGGTCAGATGCTGTTTTGCTGTAGTGGGCTGTGGGGTTGGGATCTGGCAGAAAACAGAACTCAAAAAAAGGGTGGCACCTCTGGCTCAATGAGTAGGGTACCAGCTCCATATACCAAGGGTTGTGAGTTTGAGCCCAGCCCCGGCCAAACTGCAACGAAAAATGGCCAGGCATTGTGGCAGGCGCCTGTAGTCCCAGCTACTCGGGAGGCTGAGGCAAGAGGATCACCTTGGAGTTGGAGGTTGCTGTGAGCTGTGACACCATGGCACTCTACTGAGGGCAATAAAGTGAGATCTATCTCTTAAAAAAAGAAAAAAAAAAAAGAACTCACTGCTTTAAAACTCCCTAGCGACCTAAGCTAGTTATGGCCAAACTTGAGGAGATTCATAGGCTGGTCTGGGGTGGCAGAAGTGATGATTTCCTTTCTTTCAGACTCAGGCAACCTCACAAACCCAGAGAAACAATCATCAGTGGCAGCAGCTGCCCCAGGAAGGAAATGGCTTGGAGCTGATTTCCAGGCAGTCCCAGCAACCTCTGCCAGGGCTACACGGCCTTGACCCCATAGTCTCCAACTAGCTTCATTACAAACACACACACTAACAAGAAACCATCTAGGAGCGTCTGAGCCTCCAGCTGGGGGACTTGGCCCCTCACTCTTGGCTCTGCCTTCCACCCTGGGCTTCAAACAGCAGAGCAAGGCTAGGGAAAAAAATTGGTGGGTTCCAGATATGATTAGATAATAAGCTTTGGGAAAACTGTTGAAGTGGTGAATCAGAACACTTTTTTTCTTTTTTGAGACGGTCTTGCTCTTGCCCGAGCTAAAGTGTAATGGCATTGTCATAGTTCACTACAACCTCAAATTCCTGGGCTCTAGTGATCCTCCTGCATCATCCTCCAAAGTAGCTGAGACTACAGGCCTGTACCACCATGTCCAGCTAATTCACACTTTTATTATCAGAAGAAACTCTTCCGGTTTCATTCAGTGTGTTCTGTAGTTACTTTTCCTCTCATTTCCTGGACAAGAACTTAATCCAGAAAAGTCAGTATACACTTGAACAATGGCACTTTTTAAAACTGGAAAATGAAACCAGTGGGGCTATTAAAAGATTACAAATGGATCTTTTATTTCAGAATTATTCAGAAGAAAACATAGGTCTGTGCACAAATAAGTAAAAACTAATTGAAAAGTACTTCAGTTTAACACAAACTGGGTTAAAAATGAACCCCCAAAGTTTAAATACCAAGTGTTGAAAATTACAAAGTTCTGGGCGGCACCTGTGGCTCAAAAGAGTAGGGTGCCAGCCCCCTATACCAGAGGTAGAAGTAGTGGGTTCAAACCCGGCCCTGCCAAAAACTGCACAAAAAAAAAAAAAAAAAGAAGATTACAAAGTTCAACCTGTTTTGAAATAGGCAGTAAGTGAAGAACTGTAAATCTCTAACAAAGAAATATACTGTATTTAAAAAATGACTCACCCTTCTAAGTCTATAAATACAGTGCACAATTAAACTCTCTTTGTAATATATGAAGCTCAGTTCAGACAGCTACTGTAGGTATCTCACTGTAGTCTCAGGGAGGTGCAGGTAATCATGAGAAAACACTTAGGTGAGCTGACAACTCCTGGGTCCTCACACAGCACGTCCCCTCTGAAGAACCCAGGTGAAGGCAATCTTTAATCAGAGGCCAAGGGACTCTTAGGAAAAAATAATTAGAAACTCTGGCCCAAGGCCCAAATTACACTTGGGGCCCTCGGCTGTTACCCTGAATGGACACGCCACTGCACAACAGCCAAAATCTGTGGCTCCTAAGTGGGAAGTCCAGTCCAAATGGCTATGTGGGTTCCCCCCCACCTCACAAGGCCTAGCCTCAGTCATGTTGACCTCCAAATCTGTGCTCCAAGAGGCAGAGAAGGAACTCAGGCCTTTCCCCAGACCAATTCTCAGATATGAACAGGATATAAACTACTATTAGGTCTAGGAATAATTGTTCAAGAGTTAAAGAACCCCAAATTCTGGCTGTGCCACTAATAACTGAGTAACTTTGGACAAATCTCAATTTTTTCCTGCCTCAGTTTGCTCATCAAAGTGGTGAGAATAAATAACCCTTAATGGAAAAAGAG